CATGCCTGTACACTGTTTGGCTGGAAACCATAGGTGTGGGTTCAATTCCAGACCTGAAGGGCAGCCAGGGGCCATAGTCTCAGTGGTTCCACCAGGCAAAGAGGAGCTTTTTAAGAGATTTCACAATACTAAGAGTGGCCCAGTTCCAATTTGAGCACAGATAAAGAATGCATAGAAGAAATGATAAAGAATTGGAGTAGTCAGGATGATTTGGAAGGGCTTTTCCACTTCTCTTGTAAGTGGTTCTCAGGGGTCACCTTCTTCCAAGATTTCAGGAGAGTAAGATCACCTGGACTGAGAGAGGTGCTCAGGTTTCATATTTTGCCTTATTTGGATTCTCGGTTTGTTGTGCTTCTTTCTTCCGGATTGGCCCAGGCATCTGCTTATCTGCAGATCAGATGGACACTGTCACGGGGTCTCTTGTGCTGACCCCACATCTGAGGATCTGCAATAAACAGTCTGGCGGTTTCATGCTCTCCTAATAACAGTTTCGTTAGATCACAAAACTAAAATCCTAAGGTCTTTATACCAAGGAAACAAGTTCCACAAGGCATGTTTGTACATAAACAATATCAGTAATGGTTTTTATGTGGTTTTGCTGTAAAGACATTCTACAGAATTTCAGATTTCAAATTAATAGACAGGAAATTTCATCTATAAAGTTACCAAACTGTTCCTTGGGAGACTTAGCAGGAAATATTACCATAAAAAAAAATATATATATATATATATGCCTTGAATTTCAGACACTTCTCTGGTTATGGTATTTACAGCATTGTTAAATCTATCACTAAACACAAAAACACACTGCCATTGAGTCAGATCCGACTCATAGCGACCCCTCCTTGGGTTTCCGAGGCAGTACCACTAAGGAAGTAGATTGCCCAACCTTCTTTCCAAGGAGTGGCTGGTGGGTTTGAACCTCTAGCTTCCTGGTTAGCAGTCAAATGCCTTAGGCACTACGCCATCAGAGCTCCCAAATCTATCAATAGAAACTTCTAACTCGAGTTACATTATCTAAACTCATGTAAAGTCTGATGATTACATTATTACTTTTAATGCAAGAACCAGCTATTTCGGTAGCTGACAGCACTATGTTGAATTTTCTCATCTCCTTTAAGGTTTCTTTCCTGGTTCTTAATTTTAGATTCCCCTCATATTTCTTATTTTTCTTGTTGGTCAATTGATTATATATAAATACCTAGGAAGAGCTAATAAGAATCATTCAAAATCTGCAGGTGAAAACAACAAACCCATTAGCAAATTTAGGAGAAAGGAGGAAAGAATGGTTTCTTATTCCCCACCCTCCAAATAGAATATAGAACATCAACACTATTTCTGTATAGATCTCATGGTAATCTTTCAGTTCATATATCCTGTGTAGTTAAATTTTATTTCCTGAGATCCTGGATCAGCTGCAATACAGTCTGTGAACTCATCACCTTCTACACTAGAGTTCTACTTCAGTCTAGTAGTATTCAGGCTCCAAATATCACAGTCCTTTCCCATAAGTCTAGTATAGTCCATCTTTCTGTTGGAGTATTTTGGGTCAAGCATTTTAGCAAGTCAACAAAGCAAAGCTCCTCTGTAGGTGACAAAACTTAATATAGTCGTGGTTAATTCACAATAATCTTTTAAAAGTGAGAAACCTGACAGGAAATCAATTATAGATCTAATGTAAAGCCAAATAAGTCAGTTTAAAATCAAAAGGAAGGTTAGATGAGAATATCTCCAAACATGATTAATCTTATTTTCAAAGAGTTTTAAATATGGCAAATAATTATCTTGAGATATAATAATTTATTTTAAGACTGTCAAGCCTCTAAACATCTGGCTTAAGCTCTCCAGGTAAGTGGAGTAATTCTCCCAGTTAAACTCACTGGTTGCTTTAATGTTGCTCTTAAAAGAAAAGGTTGCGACCAAGTTAGCAATTAAAATAACTAAAATTTTGACATGGTATTATGTCAAAAACGTAAGAGGAAACACTAATAGAAATTTTCAACCCAAAAGAGAATGAACCTCTTCTCTTGAATGGACAATATACTCAGATAATCTAGAATCTATCAAATCGACTATAGAACTTTTTATAAAAATCTTTTGTGGCTTTTCATGAAGTTGTCAGAGGCTACAGGCTCTGAGAGAGAATGCCTAACTTATTTAACTAAAAATTCTAAAGGTAAAAACCTTAATGTCTTCTCAGAGCCTTGAAGCTTGGTCTGACTCATGAGTCACTCCTTGCTTTGGAGGCCAAATTACAAAAAGAATGAATTAATTCTTTGAAAGAAAATTGTTACTTTAACTGTAAGAAACCCAATTTGGTATTTTATATGCTACTTACCATTAAAACTCCTAAAAATCTGAAACTATTGAACCTTACCCAACAGATAAAAACTTGACCATATTAAATAAATTTCTTTTAATAAATCTTTAAAATTGTTTGTTGCATATCTCTTATAACTCTTTCAGTGGCAAACCAAAATGAACATACTTATTAGCAGCCCTAAATGTGTGTATATCTTTTCTCTAAAAAGTAAAAGTATATGT